ACCATATACTGATCACCCCCCCAAAAAATTGCAACCAGGCCGAAATCTTAAGAATACCAATTTTAATTTGAAATCTTTAGGTTAAGGCTTTTAATCGTGACTAATCTCCAGGACTGGGTAGGATGCTCAAGGTCTAAAAGCAATTTTCTACTTATAACTGTGACTTTAATATGTGATAATTCTAGTGACTTGCTCTTCTATTTTTAGAAGTTTTTCTTGTTCTGTATTCTCATTCTATATTTGAATTTTGATAATTTTATAGCCATATATTTGGGAGTCCTTTTTTAACCTCAAATCTTCTACTGGCTTCTCTGATTTTAAACCTAATGAATTTTCCTTGACTGTTTGCCCCTTTTCATTATGTTAGCAGGTGCCCCTTATGGTTTGGGCAAATCCTTTTTGAGTACACTTACCATAGAATTATGTGCCGGGCAGATCCCTCTCTCGCCCCCACTCTCGCCCCCCTCCTCGCCCCCTCTCTCGCCCCCTGGGAGCATTACAGCCAATAGAATTTGGAGTAAAGACACTTCCTACACGTCAGCTCTGCTTGCCCAATCGCCGCTTAACACGTATACCAGTCTTGAGAGATACAGTATATAGGGGATGCCGTTGATGATCTTCTGAAAATGCTACGTCTTGCTGCTATAGTCCACAACTGGTTTTAATTTTATGCTTAGTCACTGACCAAGAACAAGTATGCAGATCAGAAAAGTCAGAGAAAATGAAGTCCTTATCTGTAGGAAGGAGGGATTAGCATGGCAGCCAGGCAACATTTTCAAGATCAGAGATCAAGTGGCAGCCTCATGACAGGTTCCCTTCAAGTGTCAGGTTCTGGTTTCATATCACCCCTTTCACACGGGGCATTCCCTTCTGATCACACTACAGATCCCCTGCTGTATGGGTAACTGGGAGGAAATACTCTGCTGTCCATTTACACCCAACTACCTCTGATCTGCGTTTGTGCTTCTGGTTTAGCAGACCACATTCGACCGTGAGGTAGGTATAAACGGACTCAAGTCCTACCCTGTTTCCCCTAAAATAAGACCTACCCCGAAAATAAGACATAGTGCTATTTTTGGGAATTGCTAAAGTATAAGACCTACCCCGAAAATAAGACCTAGTTGTGATCAGGGTTTTTTTTTTCAGCTGGAACATGGCGGAACGCCATTCCACTACTTCCGGCACTGGCCCTCCGCACACCCATATCTACTGTCTCTTATAAGTACAGATTCGTGGCTGAAGTGAAGGCATCATCCGCTCCCACAGAACCTCCCTACCTCTGTACTCACTGTGGGACAGGGAAGGAACAGATATCTGCGGGTGCAGTGTGTATAGAGGCGGGGACATCTCCTCCTGCAGCCAATGCATGGAAGCTGATGCCCCAGGGGTGATCGCCGGTCAGTGGGGAAGAGGCGGAGCGGTGAGTGAGTACGCTTGGTGCACTGTGTGGGAAGATCGGACCCGAAACTGGAGTTGCTATAGAGAGGGGCCGGCTGCTGACAGCTGTGTTTTGCAAACTAGCTAACCATATGAGATGGGGAATGTGCAGAGGTGAGCTGCGGCTGAAGGGGTGCAGAGGTGAGCTGAGTTGCAACCCACCTTTGCGCACACCCCCCCCCCCCCCCCCCCCCAGTCGTAGCTCTGCACCATCACCCCCCGGCAGCAGCTCAGCTCTGACTTCTGCTTAATTCTTGGTCAGCACCAGTTACTTGGATTTCCTGAAATTAATCGTCGTTAGCAGTTCAGGAAACTGAAGCAAATACAGCCAAGCAACTAGTATTCTCCACTGGACATCAAAGAGAATTAACGGTTTGACTTGAAAATGAATAGGCTATTTTAGAGTAACTACTGAGTGAACCATAAGATGGGTGACAGTGAAGGTAGGAAATCGCCTACAGGGACATGTAAAGAAGTTTTTTTGCCTGGAGTTCTGCTTTAAATGTAACCATTCTTTGGTCAGTAATTAGACTCTCATTTTATTCTTTGTGTAGTTCAAATGATAGTCTTTGAAGTACATGTACAAGAGTTTTATGTTGCCTATTAAGAGTCCATATGGGGTGAGATTACTCATGTTATGTTAACTAAGGGCATGTGCTTCTAAAGCATCTGTCTTCCAGGTACCGTGCATGGAAATAACCTTCACTTCAAAAGGCATTTACTGCAGGGCTTTGTGACCATATGTCAGAGGATATGCCAGGAACTGGTGCTGCCAAGTGCAAAGCATTCTTCATCATTGCCGCTGCTGTAAAACATGGATCCCTAAACTCTCTTCACAAAGACTCAGACAGGGCTTCATAATGACAGACAAATTTACTGTAAATGGATCTGTTGCAAACATTTTACATTGCATTTTTGTGCAAAACCAGCCATGAAAACAAATATAACGAAAAAAATGCTGGAGTGACAGTTTCATATCTCACCATCTTAGAGGTCAGTCCAGTTTGAGAATGACTGACTTAACACCAGGTTGTGTAGTTCATGGAACGATTTTATATTCAATTTGTTTGGTGTCCTAGATCACTGTCCTGTTGTCATTGGACACATCTCCAAACCTTGAATCTTATATCTGTCCACCCTTTCTGATTCTAAAAAGTTGGATATCTCATGGGTGCTGGAATAAACAAACATTCACCATAGAAAGGTAAATGCATAGAACAGACATTTTGATTATACAAGAAATGTCTGCATTCAGTTTATGCCCACTGTAGTAATGTAGAACAACCCCCCCTCAAGTTTTATGTTCTATTTACCTCAGATGTCAAGAGCTCACCCAGTGGCTGTGTTGGCATACATTTTGCTGTGTATGACCGAACTGCTAAGACCAGCAGCCAGTACTCCATACTGATACTTAGATCTTTCTGCTGCCTTTGACACGGTTAACCACCTGCTCCTCATTAAACTCCACTCCCTTGACCTCTGACTCTGCTCTTTCCTGTTTCTCCTCTTCGCTTTCTCGGCACACTTTGTGTCACATATTACAACTCCTTTGCTCCTCTCTGTTGGGGTACCCTCAATACCCCAAGGCTCTGTCCTTGGGCCCTCTTCTCTCTAACTCTTCCCTGGGCCAGTTGATAACCTTTGGCTTCCAATACCACCTTTTTATGCTGATAACAATCAGATCTCTATCTCAATCTCCTTACATATCACAAATTTACTGAGCGAAATATCCGTACGGATGTCACAGCACTTCCTCAAACGTTATCTTTCTAAAACTGAGCTTGTAATATTTCCTCATCCCCAATCTCCTCCCCATGACTTTATCATTGAGATCAACGGCACAACTATTGGTCCCTCTCAATATGCCGGGGTGCTAGGTGTAATTCTAGACTGAGCTCTCCTTCAGCCCCCACATCCAATCACTGGCTAAATCTTGCCGCTCAGCCACATTTCCAGAATTTGCCCCTTCCTGACTGACACCACAAAACAGCTTATTCACTCCTAGGTTATTTCCTGCATTGACTACTCCCTCCTCCCTGGCCTACACCTACACAGGCTATCCCCTTTCAGTCTATTATGAATGTTGCTGCTGCTAGACTAATACACCTTACTAACCGATCCATGACTGCTACCCTTCTCTGCCAATCTCTTCACTGGCTTCCACTAGCCCAACGTATAAAATTCAAAATGCTAACCACAACATATAAGGCCATCCACAACATTGCCCCCAGCTAGATCGCCAAACTCCTCTGCAGTTATTACCCAAACAGTCCTCTCCGTTCCTCCCAAGACCTCCTGCTCTCCAGTTTCCTTGTTACCTCCTCCCACGCTCGCCTCTAGGACTTCTCCAGAGCCTCTCCAATCCTGTGGAGCCTCCTGCCCCAGTATGTCTGGTTAGCTCTTGCCCTGTCCACCTTTTTAGACAATCCTTAAACTCATTTATTCAGGGAAGCCTACCCCACCTCTACCTCCACCTGCGAACTGCACTTGAGTCACCTCCATCGGATCATCCCCTGCAGTTGTTACCTTTTTGTACCACCTCCCCCTCCCTTTTTTAGATTGTAAGCTCCATGAGCAGAGCTTTCCTATTCCTTCTCTATCGAACTGTATTGTAATTGTGCTATCCCCCTTATATTGTAAAACTCTGCGTAAGCGGTTGGCGCTATATAAATCCTGAATAATAATGCAATGCAGGCTAAATACTTGCATTTTAGAAAATGCATCACTGGCTGGACTTGTTTTCACCACTGTTGCATTGTGTTGGAGTCCTGCATTTTCAGTCCATTTAGCCAAGTGAATGGGATCCTTTAAAAGGCAGTGCAAGTGAACAAACCTGGTAACACGTAGTGCCACATTTGTTACGTAACATACAAAAATTGGCTTGGTTCCTAGTCTTAAGATAAGTCACTAGCCAGATCTCGCCTGGCAGATGAGTGATTATTATTATACAGTATTTATAAAGCACCAATGGTTCGCTCAGCGCTGTACATTACAAAGGGGGACAGAACATGTGACAGAACAATACCAATACAATGCAAAACATGAGGGGATCAAGGGCCCTGCTCTTTCAAGCTTACAATCTAGGAGGGAGGGGATGGTGGCACAGGAGGAGATAGCTGTGGGGGATGGAGTGGTAGGAAGAGTGGAGGAGTAATGTGTAGTTACTGCAAATGTGAGTATCCCCTTCCCAGCACTACACCTATCCAGCTCTTTTTACAATTTAACTAGTTCATACCAAATGTTTGTTTTCCCCAAAAGAATAACAGCTGTTACTTTTACCTCTTAAATCAGCTTTTCTCAGCCACAGATCTCTAAAACCCTAGGATGTCTCCTCACTAAGGCTTCCCTGAGCAAAATGGCACCATTTCACTGGCTACTAATGTTGGGGGGGACAACCATTTTTTACTCTATTTTGTGTTGGCTTATTTGTGATTGTTTTGTACCATATACATACAATAGAGTGCTGGATTCTGCATTAGAAGCTTGGAGATGGCATATATAGGAACTGGAGCATACTGCTAGAGTAACGATTTTGCTGTTCTGACTTCTGCCTTATTTTCCAGGCTCAACCTTTAAGAGTTTTGGTAACTGGAGCTGCTGGTCAGATTGCCTACTCTCTGCTTTATGGAATTGCTAAAGGCGATGTCTTCGGCAAAGACCAGGTAACGATTTGTGTGGCTGTGTATGCACTGTTCTCTTGAAACTATTAATTATCCAATGCTATTCAAAATTTCCAGTGTTAGTGGCGCAGCAATGAAGTTAAGTCCTCTAATGTATAATTCTGTGTGTGGTTTTATTGCAGTCATTGGAGCTTGTTCTCCTCGATATTACACCTATGATGGGAGTATTGGGAGGCGTTGTAATGGAGCTCCAGGACTGCGCCCTGCCTCTGCTAAAAGGTAACAGAAAAGTAAGAGGGGAAATCTTCCAGTTGGGACACTAGTTCTGGGGACCTGGTTGTTTCCAAGAGATTCTCTTTAATTTGCAGGTATTTCCTCACTTCCTGTTTTGGCTATGGGACATGAAGTGAAGGTAAATTGTCAGAAATGGCACACAGATGGTGACAAACCAATCTGACAGGTTAAAACTCTTCCTTTGCCTATAGTTCTACTTTAAAGTTGCATAGTCAGTAAGGTTGAATAAAGACAACAGTCCATCCAGTTCAACCTGTGTTTTTATGTCTGTACCGCTTTCCATATCCCTGTATATTGTTTGCTTAGATGCCCATCTAAAAATTTTGTGAAACTATCAGCAGTTCCCACTGACGCCACCAATTGTGGAGTTCCACATCCTTAACACTTTGACAGTAAAGAGCCCCCTAAGCAATTTAACCACTTAAAGTTCGGACACTTTTACCCCCTTCCTGCCCACAGATAAAGACAGATAAAACTTTATTTTGTTGGTACTTATTCACCACTGGGATTTTTAAATTTTTTTTTTTTGCTATATAAATGAAAGCCCAAAAATTTTGAAAAGTGTTCTTATAAAATTTTGCAAATAAATCTGTCTTCATAAATCTGGGCCAACATGTATTCAGCTATCTTTTTAGGAAAACAAAATAACCCAAATTAGTTTACAACCAAAAATTATTCTAATTTTTTGTTTTTACAATTGTATTCTTTTCACTGATTGCTTTTACACCCATAAAGACTGGGAAAGCAATCATTTCTCCTTCTCTCTGGCTGCCATTCTTGTAGCCATTGAGAAATTCTGTGAGAGCTGTGATTGGTCACAGCTTGTCATGTGGTACAAGGCCTTGTACCATGTGATCTCTGATCATTCACAGATTTCACAAGTAGTAAGCAATGATGTCAGAATCTTGCTTATCAGCATTCATATCACATGAATTGGAACCTCACACAGAGGTCCTGTACAGTGATCGATGTTCCCCAGGGAGCACGCACAGGCTTAAAATGCGTGCACTGTTTATGAACGGCAACCCTCTCCTGCATAGCTCCCGTTTGGCCGTTTTTTATATACATGGGCCGGACAGGAAGTGGTTAAGGTTAAACCTCTCCTCCTGATTTAACTGAGTGATGCCTGTCTTAGAGCTTCTTTTCCCTGTGCTAGAATCCCCATTGAGGTATTTGTATATTGCCATCATATTGTTTCAAGCGCGCCTTCTCCAGGGAGAATAGGTTTAATGCTTGTAGCCCTTCCTTGTAGCTTTTGTTTGAAATCTTGTCTTTGCTAGCTGATAACTACACAACAAGCATATACATATAAACTCCTAACGTGATATTCGTGCTTGCATTATTAGGTAATGTAGGATAATTTAAAGTGGACCTCCAGGGGGAAGAAAAGCTTTTTTACTTTTGATTGCTCCAGCTAAACTACCTCTAATGCTGGATATACTACATCCATATGGTTGCTGGGGATGCTAAAATTTTTTGTTTTCATATTACAGCTTTGATCTTCCATTTCTGGCCTTGTACAGTGATGGATAGTGTTTACCCCCATACCATAACTTCATCCTGTCACATTTATAAAAAGTCTTCTATTCTGTTTGCAGAATACAAGTGTTCTATGATTGTACAAGATGAGGCCCTTTTTTTCTCTATCTGCCCCTCCTCTCCCTTGTCAATGATCCAATTACAGAACACTCTATATTATGCAATTAGAATACAAGATGTTTTATGAATCTGTTGAAGGAATATACTGAAGATTTCAAGAAGCCGCCTGGATGTAGTATATCCAGATTTAGAGGTAACTTAGCTGGACAAATCAAAAGTTAAAAAGAAGAAAAATCCGTTACCAAAGCTTTTGCTTTCTGTCACTTGTTGCTTTTTATATGTAGATTGGATATCTCCCCTGAAAATAGAACGCAGAGTCTTCCTCTCTATATGATCAGCATGATTAGAGCTCAATCGGATTTAGTATTAAAAACAATAAAGCTGATCTTTTCAGTTTCTTGAAGTTCTTTGCCATGACAGTCATTGTAAACCTGTAGAAACTTGGTGCATTTGTTAGGCCATTTCATTCTTGGGACCAGACCTCCCAACAAGGCCTGTGCACTTATTACTCCCATACACAGGTTTAGTTTGCAATACACTTCAAATCTTTGCATACAAACATGAACACAGAGTATGTGTATGCAACTTATGCAGTGCAAAGAGTATTCCCTTTTTTTTTTTTTTTTTTTTTTTTCCCCCCAGACATGTATAATATTGTAGGGGTTTTATGTACTTTTCAGGACTAAAATGTGCATTTTAATATTTGCATAATACAATTTTCCTTTTGAAAAACCTAAAAGATGAAGTTGTCAAGTACTTAAATGGATTTCAAATAGCTCAAGTTTCAAAATTGCATTCACCTGTGAAATGGTAAAGAACGATGGTACACCATATTGTTCCAATGCAATACTTTAAACCTTTTTGCTGACAGGTCTGTACATTGCACGGACCTGACAGTAGGGGTGTGGAGGCACACACCACACACACACCTCTGGGAGTGTGTGTATGCCTGACATCTGCTGGCTGTCAGAACGGAAGCAATGTAGCAACTGCTAGCTCTTTAGATTTATTATTTTGTAAAAAAAATTTTCAGCCCCTATGTGATAGAAAAAATTTACACCCAAACAGCTAACATATTCCCCCCCCCCCCCCCCCCCCCGACATACACGCAGGTACTAACGCAATGCATGCTTCGGGGGAGCCTTCGTATTAAAATGTTGATTGCGCGTCACGTTACACATTGTCTCTCTCATCAGAGAGCAATAATTCTAGCACCAGAGCTCCTGGAAAGCTCTAAACTGATGATCCGTAGGGGCTTTTAAAGCGCTTCCTTTGGGTACTATAGGATACTGAAGTTTGTCTCTTTCACAGGCACGTGCAATTTTTAAGATTTGCCGTGTTTTGGTATCTCTTTACTTGGCACAACCTTATCTTTTTGGACATTCTACTTTTTATACCCACCTTAAATTTTTTTGGAGTTCATAAATGATCACCCTACACATGATCACTCAATTGCATTAATGGGGTAATTTTTATGGTGTTAGTGCTTATACTACAATAATAGTACCATAGGTAGGCTTGGTCTGGCCATAGGGCACACTAGGCATTTTGCCCGGTTGGCCAGGGTCGCCAGGCTGAAGATGACTGGGCCGCACAGCAGGAGGTAAGCGGCGACCGCGTTCTGGACGGGGCTAATACAGACCGCAGCCGCTGCTCACCTCCCGCTGTGCGGCTATGCCAAAAGCAGGGCCGACAGGAGGAGCGGTAGTGACAAACAGGAGGCGCCGCTGACACGGACAACTCCTTGGCCGGCCCCTGCACTGAAGGGCGAATGACGGCCTCTCCTCAACCACGGCCACTGGTACACTGTGACAGGTCTGTAGGATCGCTGGGTGGGGCTGTCTCTGCACCTAGTCGGGTCCAGCAAAGACATCCCCGTCTTTGCTATATGGGGCTGTCTCTTTGCTGGACTGGGCTGTCTTTGCCCAGTTGGGTCCAGCAAAGAGACATCCTAATCCAGCAGAGACAGCCCAGTCCAAGGGACATCCCCACCCAGTAAAGAGACATCGTCTTTGCTATATGGAGATGTCCCTTTGCTTGATTGGGCCATCTCTTTGAATATATAGGGGGCACTGTGATTAAATCTTTAGGGGCACTGTAATGTAAAGGGGTACTGTGCTGTAGAATTTAGTTTAAAGGTGTACACTGTCAGCATTAGCAGCTGTATATTGTGTAGAGGTATATACCAGGTAAGCTAGTGTGTAATGATGTGCTTCAATGGAACGCTGACGTCAATTTTAACCTTTTATGTGTAAAAATATTATTCCCGAAAGAATCCAAAGTGTTTATTTCATGTAATGTTTTTGCTTATCTGAAGGGTAAAGGTTAGTTCTACACTCTGCCTTAAAAACAACCTGACAGCAATTTTATTACCCTGTTTTCAAGCTGATTGTTTATGAAAGTTTGTGTAGTACACTATAGATTTCTGAATCTATAGGTTAAAGGTTGAATTGCTGTGTTGATATAGAATGTATGCAAGTTTACATTTCCATATTACAACCTGTTCTTTCACATTAGTGATTATTCTATAATACCAATGTAAGAGTGAAAGCTACAACTAATCACCATAAGACTGCAGCATAAACCATGTTTGTGCATTTTTTTTTTTTTTTTTTTTTTTTTCTTTGTTGTATTTCACTCTTCTCTTGGGCTGAAGGTAAAAGGCAGTTCGACTCCTGGCCCGATCTGTTATTTTCTAGTCACCCTAAACCTGTGTTGGTGTCATAAAAGACTCTGGTCAGCTACTGTACTGTTATCAAGACCTTTTTATTCCTCTAGGACCCAATACACGTGCTGAATCACCGCAATTTCTAAATGGTTATACCCTGCCTAAATTGTCTGTGGGAAACCAATCCCTTATTGAACGCCCCATTAAAAGATAAGTTTACCTTTTTATAACATGGCTGGTTGTCAAATGAGTAAACTACAATTACTGTAGCTTTCGGGGCTGACTGCTTGTAGCTCTCAATGAGAGTGCTGTGAGTAGTTTGAGGCTTCCTGTCAGTGTGTATCTGTCTGCTCGTACAAGGTACTGAAAGTCTGCAAGAGCCCTGCAATGCACCTGTGATCTACTGATTGTGGGTGCAATGCTTTACAAACTCCCAATAAAAAAAAAAAAAAAAAAAATTGCATTTCATTTCATGATGATGGGGTATTTTTTCCCTGCAAAAAGATGTGCATTTTCTTTTATTTTAAAAAAAAAAAAAGATTTTTTTTTGGGGTGAACTCCTTTTTAACCTTTGGCTGCCCAGCCAATGGCCATTCGGCGGCTTGCAAAATCCCTCAGCGTTCCAGGTGGACGCCATATGGCGTCCTCCCAGGCATGCGCAGTTTGCGCGCCTGCAGAGCCGTGCAGCAGCGCGATCTGTCACCGGCCGTGTACCTCAGACATGGCTGATGACAGATCTGTGTACCGGCCCTGTTGCCGGTACCATGTGACCTGCTGTGACAAATCCACAGCAGGTCACATGACAGTTGTATACAATGGATGGCTTCATTCATGCCATCCATTTGTATACTAGTGTGTCTATGCTGTGATTGGTCACAGCGATCACATGCACAAGCTGGGCCAATCACAGCCCACCGGTGTCATGTGATTAGCCGTGGCCAAATCACAGCTAAGCACAAAAAAAATACTGATCACTTCCCCAAAGTAGTACAATGTTACTATGGTAACATTGTACTACTTTGGTCATAATGAAATATGAAAAAAAATCTTTAATACAAATTATACCGTATTTTCCGGCATATAAGACAACTTTTTAACCCATGAAAATCTTCTCAAAAGTCGGGGGTTGTCTTATACGCCAGTATACGGCGTGCTGACACTTCCGAGCCGGTGTCAGGGTGGCACTTTTTAGGGGGCGGTGCCGCTACTGCCCCCCCCCTTCCAACAGAAGGGACACTAAGTACAGGGGCGGGCAGGGGGTTGCTGTTTCTTACCTGGCTCCAGTCCCACGACGATCCAGTCCAGGAAGCAGGGCTGCTCCTTCATTCAGTTCGGCCGCTCTGTTCACTCGGCTCCACCTCCTCACTGGTGATTGGGCGCCAGAACTGTAGCTCAGGAAAGGCACACACAGGCCAATCACCGGCGAGGAAGCGGAGCCAAGCAGCCCCGCGAAAATCGAGTGAGGGAGCGGCCGGTAAGTGTGGCGTGCAGATGGTGCTGCTGCAACCACGTATGCTGGCTGCAGCAGCACCATACTGGAACGGGTCAGCAAGTGTCATTGGTGTCAGTGGGAGGAATAGTGCCCCATCATTGGTGTCACTGATACTAATGATGGGGCATTATTTCTCCCACTGACACAAACGATGGGGCACTATTCCTGAGGTGGCAGTGGACAGCTTTCCTAATTCTAAAGCTTCACGGAGTAGACTGTCCCTTATCTATGTATGACACTGTAATTGTGGGGATTCCAAAAAAAGTTTTGCTCAAAAAATTCTACAGACATGCATGCCTACTCCCCAACAATATTAAGATGGCAGCCAAAGTGCTCACAAACAGGTTTACACTTGCCATCCGCCCTACAGCAGAAGTACTGCTACAGGGCGGCACAGATGTGCAAAATCATGTATGTAAATGTGATTTGCCTTTCTGGGTAGGGGGGCGCGCAAGCCACCCTACCAACACCGCTTTTGGCAGCTGGGGATGTCAGTCACTGGGTCCTGGCCGGCACTCTAATCGGCGGCAAAGCTGACAGGGGAGAGACCTGTGTTTTAACACAGGTCTCTCTCCTGTCAGCATGGACATGCTGCTTTGTGTATCTCTGCACAGCAGAGATACAAAGCAGCATGTCTCCTAAGTAACACAGCACACAATGTAAAACACAGTTAACCCTTTGGTCAGGTAGGGGTTAACATCTGGGGAGGTCAGTGTTGGTGGTTTTGTTTAGCACTGATCACTGTATTGGTGTCACTGGGGAGGTCAGTGGCTGTTATTTCCCACCTAGTGTCAGGATGCCTGTCGCAGTTCCGCTATAAGTCGCTGATCGCCGCCATTAGTGGTATTAAAAAAAAAAAAAAAAAAAAAAATTCCAGTGTATACCGCCGTTTGTAGACGCTATGACTTTCAGATAAACCAATTAATATACAATTATTGGTATTTATTTTTTTTATCTTCCTCCTGTGCCACTATCCCCTCCCTCCTAGATTGTAAGCTCTAAAGAGCAGGGCCCTCGAACCCCACGTGTATTGTTTGTGCTGTATTGTCTCATGTACTGTCCCCCACTATAATGTACAGCGCCGAGCAAACCTTTTTGGCGCTATATAAATACTGTAGAATAATATTTAGCAGAATACATTTTGGCCTACATTTTATGGAGAAATTAATTTTTTTTTCCGCAAAAAATTAACCCACAAGGGGGATCAAATACCACCAAAAAAGCTCTATTTTGTGGGGGGGAAAAATAACATAAATTTCATTTATGTGCAGCATTGCATTACCGCGCAATTGTCAGTTTAAAGTAATGCAGCATCGTATCGCAAAAAAATTGGCCTGGTCAGGAAGGTAAATCCTCTGAAGGGCAAGTGACTAAATAAGGTCAGATCTGCAATCATACACTCTGATTATATTTAAGATTTCCATTTGCTATTCGTAGCCATGGAAAAACTGGACATTAAGCTTGTTTGATCAGACACTATAGGTATTCTAGGATGTGAGGTACTGCTTACTCTTCAGTTTGAGACCGTAGAGTGGGACTGTATTTTGGCTATTCCTAATAAATTTGGGTTCGGAGAGAAATTTTTGCAAGTGGGCTAAACTGCTCTATGCCAGTCCTTTTTTAACTTCTGTTGGATGAATGTCCATCTTTTCCTTTACATGTGGTGTCTGACAGAGGAGTACTAGATCACCAATCCTCTTCGCTGGTCTGCTTTGTCAGTCCTCAATGGTAGTTTTGGTTTCACAGGGAACCATGTGAAGAAGTCAGGCTTTATGTTGACAATCTACTTATGTTTCTCTCGGACACCCATTTCCCCCCTCTCGTTGACCTGTGTGAAAGGAGTATGACATTCTCTGGTTTATATATTTGGAACAAATCCATGCCGCTGCTCTTGGACCCACTTCAGCACAACTGGCCCTGGCTCTCTCCCCATATTAAACTAGTTACTCATCAATAAATAGCTGGTATAAACTATCTCTAAATTACCAAAACTGCAAGGTGTTCTCAGATTATACGAGGTGGAGAGGAAGGGTGGTGATGTTGGGTTCTCTACCTCGTCCAATAAGAATGCTTTGCATTTATTTAGAAAATGCAAAGCAGTCTTCTGAATGGCACCTGTGCCAAGTGGCCAGTCTCCTGTGTTCAGTATGCAGAAGTGAAGCTGTTTGGGATGGGACCCATAAGCAAGTGGTGATTACTGGAGTAGCAGTGTCTACTTCGGTGACTTTCAGTTTTCAGCGCATCGGCCAGCTATGGTGTATATACATGGTTACATTGATCCAAGCTGGATAGAAGTAGTAATGTATAAAATACCCATGCCTAGAATTCTTTAATGTTTTAGGTAAAATTGCCAAACATAGCTGAGTAGATAAAAGCTGCACTTAAGTTCTCTGCTGTTGATTGGTTGTGTTATTTGCGCAGATGTGATAGCTACAGACAAGGAAGATGAAGCCTTCAAAGATCTGGATGTTGCAGTCCTGGTGGGCTCCATGCCAAGGAGGGAAGGGATGGAAAGAAAAGACCTGCTGAAAGCCAATGTGAAAATCTTTAAATCACAAGGTGTTGCACTTGACAAATATGCCAAGAAGTCAGTGAAGGTGATTATTGCTAAAGAGAGGTCTTTCTGTTTTTAAAATGACAATACTTAATTAAGTCTAACAGCTTAGTTTATTTGTGTTAGATCTCATAGATTTTAAGCTCTAACAAGCAGGGCCCTTGCTTGCTTCTTGTACCTAATTGTATTGTAACTGTAATGCTACCTTCATTTTGTAAAGTGCTGAGCAAACTGTTGGCGCTATATAAATCCTGTATAATAATGACTAAAGGGCTTAGACAAGCACTATTTATAAACAATGATTGACAGCTAACTGATGCAACTCAGAGCAGGCAATGTTCTCCTGTTTTGGAGGACCTTGCTAGCCAGTTGCTGAATAGGAGCAGGCTATAAATCCTGTTTTGTTCACCCTTATCAGTATATAGCAATGCCACTTGTCTTCACCGTCTCCAGTGTACAAGATGAGTCTGATTGCTTTGCACATCAGAAATGTATGGGGAACATGTATGTGTGTGACACCACCTATAGGTGCAGCGCAATGCACTTTGGGTGGGTGAACTCACAGCATTCTTGCAAATTATGGCACCCTTACCCAGGGGCAGACTGACCGTTTGGAAACTCGGGCACTGTCCAGGGTCATTAGGGGGCCCCATGAGATGCCCCTGGTACACTTTTTTTTTTTTTTTTTTTTTTTTTTTTTGTTTACCTCCAGTATCTTGTAGTTTTAGAACTAAATAAATCAAAATGTTTCTTATTCGGTTTTAATGTTTCTATGGTGTTCAGAATGTCACTAGAAAATTACAACTCCTTCGTGTGGGTGTTTTGTTTTAGGTGATTGTAGTGGGCAATCCTGCAAACACCAACTGCCTGACTGCAATGAAGTCTGCTCCATCCATCCCTAAAGAGAACTTCAGCTGCTTGACTCGTCTAGATCACAATAGAGCAAAAGCTCAGGTGAGAATTGGGGGTCATCGTTTTTTACGATCTTATAAGGCTATTTTCTAAAGAACTGTCACGGGGGGGGGGGGAGGGTGTGAGGATGGTATGGGAGTGTATACCAATCAGACTGTATAAAGTTTTTTTTTTTTTTTTTTTTTTTTTACTACAGATTGCAAATCGCTTGAAGGTAGCAAATGATGATGTTAAAAATGTGATCATCTGGGGAAAAATCACTCCTCTACCCAGTACCCTGATTCTAGTCATGCTGTTGTCCGTCTGCAAGGAAAGGATGTGTCCGTGTTTGAAGCAGTGAAAAGATGATTGCTGGCTCAAAGGGGAATTCATCTCGGTAAGAAGAAAAAAAAAAGCTACAGCAATCTCCTTCTAGTGCAGGTCATGTGACAAGTGTGGATATTTTTTTAAATTTACCTTTTTGGGGGGTGGTTGTGTAGAGGAATTGCCTAATACAATCCTTTTTTTAAAGGCTGAGTTTTTAGGGAAAAAAAATAAATAAATGCACATATCTTGTAGAAAAGTAAATTGCATTTGTTTTCCACAGGAGCCTGCAAATCATGTAATGTCGGGTTCATGGCTTTCAGTTAGAAATCTGGAGGAATATTCAGTGGACTACAAGTTTGCTGATTACCTCACTTGTAGTCCATTGAAAACTAAAAGTCCTGTCACGATGATGTCTGTGAATGAACTACTCAGCTGGCCTGCCCTGTGGGCTCATGTGAGGGTGCTTAGAAATATGTTATACCCTAAATGCAGGTATACTGTTCCCATAGGTAAACTTGGCCTTTTTAAAGGATAAGGTAATCTTTGGGAACAAGTTGCATGTTCCACCACCAATTTTTAAGCTGTAACATGTTCCCTTAGCTGCCGCTCCGCCAACACGGCCATGTCATTCATTCACTGATTTCCATGAATGAACTGCAAGTCCCGACGACCTTGGCAGCTGTGGACTTTCAATGAACTACCATGGCGCTGTGGAGCGCCATGGTAGTTCATTGAAGATTCCTGTCAGAATATCTGCTTGCTTGTGCATCCCGTACAGCAAGCAGATATTTGACAGGTTTGCAGGAGACCTGCATGGCATCAGCAATCTACTAATCGCTGGCGCAATGCTTTCCAGGCTCCTTTTTTTACAAAAATAATAAATTCACTTTTTTTTTTTTTTTTTCCCTCCAAAAAAAGGGGTTTATTTTGTCCAAAAGTTGAACTTATCCTTAAGGTGAACCTGTTGCTACACTATGCACATTAAAGTATTAATACGTTAATATACATATACTCTAATATCTATAGCTGGGTCACAGGCATGCTGGAAAACTGTTAGGGCCGGATCACACCAGAATCTCTCACGGGAACTCAGTCTTGTGTCCCTGAGCAATTCCTGTACATTCTCCTGCAGTGTGATTTTTGGCAGTGGCTGCAAATTGCACATGCAGTACTTTGCTGCACCAGAGTGCATCGTACCATGTTATCTGGTGCCCATAAACGCACTGCATTTGTGATCTGCGTTTTGAGTGCTGTTACCAATATATTGGCAACCATAGATCGCAAAGGCAGTGCATTTTCAGTGTGGAATGTGCTTTCTGAAGTGAACTCTCCTAGAAGATGGGAATGTTGATTACATTTTTGGTTTCATCTATATTGGTCTGTCCTGAGTCAAGAGCATGAATCCAAAAGCCTCTCCATTTTGGGGCCTAGCAGGCCCTACCCAGCATCACCCTATCTATAGTGGCAAGATCAAAAATGCTAAATTTACCCTCCTATCTTTTGAAATAAGAGCGTTCAATTTAATTACAGTTCTAATTGTATAGTCCTTGTTTGTGTCCATCTTTCCTAGACTGTTCAGCAGCGTGGCGCTGCTGTTATTGCAGCGAGGAAGTTATCCAGCGCTATGTCGGCTGCCAAAGCCATTTGTGATCATATTCGAGACATTTGGTTTGGAACCCCAGAGGTAAATGTTTGATTTGCACTGGCACTCCTAGACTTTAATATGGCCATTTGTTTAGGGGGGAAGGGGGGGCGGTGGCTTTAATATCCTTAAATATGTATGCTAACCAGCTTACACCAGAGTGTACTCTATCTATCTAGAGATGTCAAATATTTGGAAATTTTGAAGTCTTTAGAATCTTTCCCTCTGGTGTGTGGGTTTTTTTTTTTTTTTTTCTGGTAAAAATGGAAATTTTTGGAAAAAATGTGTTTAAAGAACTGTGTGTGGAGTAGTTTTGCAAATTGAAAGTCATTCGTTTTGTTACGCTGGGAGCATGAAATGCAGTGTATAGAAAAGTATTAGGCCTTTTTTTTTTTTTTTTTTTTTTTTTTTCTCTCCTGCTTTTGTGTTTTTAAATAGAGAAGCGAATATCGTATGAACTTGTACTCCTATGGAACTCTTCAAACTGATCCGTTGCGGGTTAGGTGCATTTGTAAAATTCCTGCTTGCTACAGGTTTTGGTGCGGTAAAAACGCACAAACTCCTTCCCATTGAATTCAGTGGTAAACATGGCATGTGATTTTTGAGTCGCATGTCATGTCAACCTCCCCCCATGTGTTTTACATTTGTATGTACATGGGGATGGATTTTTTTTTTTTTTTTAAAAAAAAAAAAAACAAAAAAAAACAACTTTGGGTCTGTCCTGTCTCCATTTCTCTTGAGACCTCAGGGAACTATTACACCTCTCACCTGCCCTCCATTGGGGTTATTGGAGCGCAGATCACACTTCATTAGCTTCTTCCCTGGCTATAACAGCCGAACCCAGAACTGTTGTAATGAACATCACTTCTGGGCTTTTACTATGGATGGGAGATCAGCAAACAGATGTTCGCTGGTCTCGCTTCCATCTACTTGACGACACCTGCAATATAGGGTCCCCTGGGCCTGCAGGGCCCCCTATTTCTTTGCTAAAGGCAGTAGTTTATTAAAGTCTGATCATTACAGGATGAATTCTGAATTTTAAATCTGTAAATAAACCAAATTTGTGTCTAATCTATTTTTTTATTTTATTTTTTTTCCTCTATACAGGGACAATATGTGTCCATGGGTGTTATTTCAAATGGAAACTCCTATGGTGTGCCTGACGATCTCATGTACTCATTCCCTGTTGTAATTAAGGTAAACTGCAATTCAGATTTCTTTGAAAAATGTGTTGTGTACATTGGCTTATCCTCAGCTGTTATGGTGATCATATGACTGCAATACCATGAGTTACCCAAGGTGAAAGGTATGAAGTACTTTTCCCTGATGAGCTGTAAACTATTCAGCAGCCTAATTTTCAGATCCTTAGCTTTGTGCCACCCCTTACTCCCCACCACCCTTTTCCTGCCAAGTCATCCAAGGCAGTAGTCTCTACTGCCTGTCCCTTGATCAGTGTATTGGGCTGGAGAAAGCTAGTTATGAGAGAGGTGGCAGCATCCAGATTTCCTTCAGTAGTAGGGTTTTTTCTTTTCTTTTTAGATGTACATGCCCAATGAATTTTTGAGAGCAATTGATCACTTAGGAAAAACACATTGCGGGCTGTAATTCAGTTTATGCCAATCCTGTAGTTTAACAAACATTTAAGCAAATGGTTTCCAATCCCTCCAGCTGAGGTTCCAATGCTAGCATGTAGGGTTGTGCCGATACCAAGAATTTGCACAAGTACTCATGCAAATGCTCAAATACCTGAAATTGATACGTTTGATGCGATTTGAACCCATACAAAATAAATGGGCTCAAATAGCACTGCAAAGAATCGCATGCAATTTGAACAGAAATGCAGTGCGATTCCTGTCCAAATCACATGTTTCTCCCTGGGCTCAGTGTGATTTGAGCCATTCATTTTTGTATGGTGCAAATTACACCACACCCGCAGGGAAACCGTAGGTGATTAGGAATCTCACCACAATCCTGTTCAAATTGCATGCGATTTTTCATTTTGTATGGGCTCAAATTGCACAGCAAAGGTATTCGAAATCGGTGTCAGCAAGTACTTGGGCACACGTATCTGTACTTGTACTTGCCAATAAACCGTATCGGTCCAACCATGCTAGTGAATGATTTGTTGACATGGTGTCCAATTCCTAAACTTTCAATACAGTTTGAGTTTAGTTCCACTTTACCATATCCCAAGAATTTTGCGCAAATTACTTCATATTCATATCTCAAACAGGATAAAAGCTGGAAGATAGTTGAAGGCCTGAAAATTGATGATTTCTCTCGTGGAAAGATGGATCTAACAGCCAAAGAACTTCAAGAGGAGAAAGACACTGCTTTTGCGTTTCTTTCAATTGCATGACTAGAAACTGGTCCACAAATGCACTTAACCAATGAAACCGTTAAAAGTAGTCTTTAAGTTTTAGTATCAAGTGCTATTTATGTCTAAAAAACGGTCAAGTCTTCAAAAATCCACTCACATCTAAGTTTTGTACCTGTGACTAGTTCAAGTCATTCCTGGTGGCAGTGAAAAATAAAACCGTAGACTCCAATTTTTGTGGGCATTTGTTTTTTGTGGGGGTAGAGGTCTGTGAGCTTCAGATTCTTCTTTTGTGTACAGTAAAATACAATAATACATTGGAATGTAATTCAAAGCCTTAAAGGGCAACGTGACAACCTGTATTTCAAGGTGAGTCTGAAGCATGATCCCACACTAGATGAAAAATGGAATGTTGTCTTTATTGAACAGTCAGCAAAACTCTGGGTAAAAAGCAGTTGTGCATTTCATGCTGTTCAGTGAGGCTGACTCACTTACTACTGCAGGCCATGGGATATTTAAAAAAAAAAAAAAAAAAAACATTTTTACAGCAGTTTGTGTTCTTGCTGAAATCGAAATTTGTGAAGTGTCTCCATTAAATCTGTAAGAAATTGTATTTGGCTTGGCAATAGTCAAATTGAAACTGGTTTTACATGGAGTTGGCCTTTTAGGCAATAGTGTTTGGGCAGAAAAAGTAATGCTCCATATACTTTTGAGGGCTAGTTCACATTGGATGCAGTCCAGTACACTTTTCTCTTTTTTTTTTTTTTTTTTTTTTTTGTTCTTTAGTCTTCCAGGACGAGTTGTCTTCCACCTGAGAGATGACTAGCTCCACCTGACAGGAAACACAAAAAATTGTCAGTTTAAATTCCCCTCCCTGTCTTCTCCTCCTCAGTTTTTGATTGTTTCCGTGCAGCGAAACTTTTTTGTTGTGTGGGGGTTTTTTTTTTTTTTTTTTTTCTATAGGGTGTGCGGGGAGTCTGCTGCTAGTCCTGTCAGAAGCAGGTGGAGAGACCAGGGTCCATGGGCGCGAGGCTGTGGACTAAGCTTCGCTCTCAAGTATACCTTCTGACGAGGGCGGGACTTCCGCCCTAAAGGTGCCAGTCCATTTTTCTTTCCTCCATGAGGCCGGTGACTAGCCTCCAGGAAATACCCCTGGGAGTGTGGACCCAGGAGCCCAGCAAAGGCAACATAGTCCCAAAGGGCCCTGCTAAGGATGAAAGGAAAGGCAGTCGCTGCAGCTTGTGAGAAGGCCATGGGCGGAGAGTCTGACTCGGCTGGTGAGGGAGAGAGGGGAGGTAGTCCTTACCCACTCCCTACAGGTGTGCCTGGGGGGGGAAATACGATTTTTTTAAATGGGCCTCTTGTTTGTTTCTCCCTAGAGCCATGTGGAACCGCCCAAGAGCACCCACAAAACGCCTAAGGATAAAGCCCCCTCGGTCCAAATGGCATGGTTATTGCAATAATAAAGTTCTGCAAGACCAATGCTTCTGTTATAAATGTATCCACAAGTTGTCAGGGAAAGAAGCCTCTGCAGTTAGAAGGATATCCTTCATGTCTGTGCAAACAGATTTTAGCCACCTTTACAATCCTTCAAAACGGCTTTTATATCTAGAGAGGTAGGTACTCGGTCCTCTAGGGAGGGGTCGTCAGATTTCTATGGCTTTTTTTTTTTTTTTTTTTTTTTTTTTTTTTTTTTTGCATAAGCCACTCATTTTATGTTCAGGTGATGGATGTAAAAAATAAGATGTAAACTATAGGGGAAAAGACATTTAAAACTTGGCAGATTTGAACTATATACTACTGTACCCAAAAAGAAGAAAAATGTTGACTAAAGTGTACATGAGTTTGCAGTGATCATGTTTTTTTAAAGGATAAGTTCACCTTCAGGAACATCTTGTATGTTCTAACCTAAACGGGTAAAACCTGTAACATGTTCATGCAGCAGCTTGGCAATGCGAGCCCTTTGACAGCAGTACAGGAAGAAATTCCTTGTACCAGCTGTCACTTTTTGAAGAGTGTGGCCATGTTGGACTCTACCCACATGGCTGTGTCATTCAAAGTTCTGTGAATGTATGAACTAAAAGTACCGACATCCTTTGCGGATGTTGGCTTGAAGTTCTCAATGAACTACCGAGGCACTGTTAAGCACTCGGTGATTGTTCAGTGATTCTTCCTGTCAGTGTGAAACTGCCTCCCCGTACGAGGTATGAGCAGACAGATTACACTAACAGTCTGCAGGAGTTCTGTATGGCACCAGCGATCTGCTGCTCACTGGTGCAATGCTTTGCAGGCTCCTTTTTATAAAGGATGTGTGTCTAATCACCTTCCAGGATAGCACATCTGAGAGTTGAGAGGCTCCTCCCTACAATCATTTGACAGCTGTTAAGTCCCCACCCTTCCCCTTGATCCTCAGTATTTGGTTTTCTTCCTAAACATGGAACGTTTTTTGTTTTCACTGACCAGAAGACCGGGGAGGGTTGGATGATACCCCTGGTAGGGAGGCCGGAGGCTGAACTATCATGCAGGCCAAGTGTCTCGCATGTCGCCCTGGATGTCCAGCAGTGATCCAGACACAGGAGTGTGTTTTGCTACTGCAGCAGACTGTACAAGTCTCTCTATCTCAACAAAGACTTGTACAGTCTGCTAGCCACCCCTGGATGTCATGGCCATGTCCTTCTCTTCCTTTTTTGTGTGTCACATGGCCAAACTTGGCAGCCTTCCAGGAAGGACAGCAACTTGGAGGGGTGAAATTGGCCACTATCCTTTTTGTGGCCCCCCCACGAATGGATAAGTGAGCCCTGTGGCAAAAGGCAGAAGACAACAGGCGGTGAGTACTTCCCTTTTTTTTTGCCTTGGGAGCCTAACAGCCAGGTGGTTTCTGGACATTGAGATATGCCCCCATTTTCTTTAATGCAGGGTGCTACTATCCTTTTCCCTCATGGTGTGGAGATGGCCCAGAAGCTTCAGCTAAACCACCTTCCACAGCCGCCACTTAGATCAGTAGATGCTGTGGTCATTGCAATATAAAGGGGGTTATTTACTAAAACTGCATGGTGCAAAATCTGGTGCAGCTCTGCATAGAAACAAATTGGCTTCCAGGTTCTATTGTCAAAGCTTAATTTAACAAGCTGTAGTTAGACGCTGGCTACCATACACAGCTGCACCAGATTCTGAGTGCACCAGTTTTTAGTAAATCAACCCTAAAGTGTCCATCCTCTCACTCTAAGCCCTACTGGGGTAAGTTAAGAGTGGTGGATTTCGTGAAGTGTTGAGGCTGGTTAGCCACTAGCTCCCCTGGGAGAGTCTTTTACAGGCTATTTTTGCCACTGAATGATCTGACACACCTAAAACGATAGATTCAGTGGAGGCCAAGAACCTGTATATTCCAGCACTATTCTAGCAGTTTTTCCCCTGGTCAACAGTGCTACACCAGGCAATCTGAACCTACTATGCCAGCTGCTATGGATCTGGCAAGATTTCTCCAACATGGGTTACTAGAGATCTGCCTTCCATATGGAGGGGAGGCACAGTATTGCTTGCCTCCTAAGAGCATGTCCTCTTTTTGGGGTTTGCTGTGTGTAACATCTCTCAGGCTGTAGAGCAGCTCTGAGATGTGCAAGCTGAAACCTATTAGATCTTTCTTACACTTCTGTTATTTGTGGTGTGTAAGAACAGGTTATTTGTTTTTGGGCTACAGTCTACCCTGAACTAGAAGCATAAAAGGTTATACTGCAGCCCTTAGGCTAGTTTCATATCGCAGCGTTCCTGCGGGCTGCGTTTTGCACGGCACGAGAGTCCATCCATTTGAAGGAACTCCCATGCCCCGGGACACACAGGGAAGAAGTCCCTGCCCCTCTTCGGAAAGCACGGCCCGCGTGGGAACCTCGGTTCCTAGTGTGGGTGGCATGCCATTAGAATTAATGGCACCTGCCCACGGGTCCGCATTCCTCTGTGCGGGTGGTGCAGCTGCACAGATTTTTGTGCATATCTGCAGCAGCACCACACGCACAGATGTGAACCAGGGGTAAATTGAGTTCCTAGTGCAAACCTAAATGCAGGAGTTGACTACATAAACCTGTACCTAACGATTTTTTTTTTTTTTTTTTTTGCTAAGGCCTGCTGGTTACACCCTCCAAAGTTAGGCTAGGTTCACACCTATGCAGTTTGCGTTTGATCCATTTCTGCAGTGCGCTCCTACACATGTTTTTGATGTGTGGTGTTGTTTTTTTGGTTTTTTTTTTCCTCCTTGTTGCAAGGTCATCTTAAACGCACTACACGCTTTTCTGAAGCATTTCCATTGTAGTCTATACAACTAAAAATGCAGCTTTTTGCATTCAAAAAAGTCCCTGACCCTTTTCAAAAAAACGCACCAGGTGAAAACATGGAGATGTGAACACGTCCCATAAGAAATAATGTTACATGGACTGTAGTGCATTTCTGCAAAAAGCTGTGGCAGATGCTGAGGTGTGAACCTAGGGTAATATGGCTTTCACCTCTTCTTGGACAGCAGCAGCCTTAATTTACCACAGGGAAGGCTTGGACTTGCTCCCACCTGTGTACGGACTAGCTAAATCTACTCATACTTAACATCGGTGTATGGGAGAATTCATTGAGATACATGACTAAATACGCAGCATTAGGATGACTCCTATTTTGTACCTATTCCAAACCAAAACCTTTGGTGTGATTCAAGTCTAGTGGTGGAAGCTATATCTATTGCTGGTTACCAACAGCTACTACAATGGTGGTGCGTTCACCTTAGATTTCCATCATCTAGGACCCTCCACTGGATGGATGGATAAAAGATGAGTAGCCAGAGCCCAGGCCATACCTCTGGTAAGTAGTGCTGTTGGTGTATACCTTACAATGACTAACTTTATGCTTTGGAAAAATTTGTCTGTTTACTCACTTGCACTTCCTCAATATACAACATTGAAATAAGTTTGTGTCTTTTCTGTTTATAGGTGTTATATCACTTTAACTGTTTCCCGATGGCACATCTGAGAGATGTACTGTGGCAGCTACAGGCAAAGCGACATACC